ATTTTCTTACATTAATTCGTAATTATTATTCTATAAAAATGTTGAGTTCCATTAGATTAAATGTAGAAATTAATATTATAAAATTATGTAGATTTGAAGAATCATACTTTTAACATACATTTCTATATTACTAAGAAATTATCTTGGTTCTAACAAAAAATCATGGACAAGTTTTTAAAAAATTGGAATCTATATTCTTTTACATACTATATCTAGACATATTTAATTAGAAAAAACGCTTAGTATGAAAGAAAGAAAGGAAAAGAGTAATTAAAGAAGTCCACTGCTTTTGAAACATTGTTAGTACTTTTATACGCATTAACTTAACTGTATGAAAGTTCATGAATATTACAGAATTTTAGTGTTCTTAAATACTTTCATCCTTCATTGATTTTTATGCAAATAATTTCTAAACTGCAAACATTTATACATCACACCCATCTATATCAATCATATAGGAACATAGCATCTAAGAAAGTTTAATAATAATTATAGTTGTATTACTCAATCTCTGATAAGTAGAACATAAAACCTATGAAGAATAATTTTATGAACTGTTAAAATTCCTTGATCCCCTTAATACATTATATAAATTTGATCTTTCCCTTTTTAAATACCCTGTACAAATGTATAAACATTTAAAAGATAAAGATTCAATTTCTTTGTATTATAAACAATGTATCTATAACGTGAAATGCATTCATCTATATTATATAATTATTATTATTATTACAATTTCCTCTGCATATAATGAAGACACTATTTTACTTACAATTTTGTTTTTTTACGTACCATGAAAGTCTATTTTCATAAAACTGTATAACTATTTGTGGACAAACCAAGTTTGCCTCTTTCGCGCTAACCAAATCTGTTTCTTCTGTTCCTTTCCTACATAAAAAAATAGATATTAATATCGTTTCAGTTACTTTTATCCTATAAGCAATATGTTAAAGCTAACCATTTCATTAAAAACATCAGTTCTCCACTAGAGTCTGTAGCTCCAATAATTTTATCAGGCTCCAATTTTCTCTTGAATCCATAGATTTTACTGTCACAACCAACAGCTTCTGTTTTACTCATAATTTAATGTATATTGCAATATTCTTCAAGGCATTAAGTTCTATGTCTTTCTCACCTAGTAAATATGTATATATACAAGTTAATAATAAATATATTTGAAATAATTACATTTTCATTGGCATTATTAAAAAGTATTATTAGAAATTCAGAAATACTTATTTATAAAAATAAAAGACTAAAAATTTAATTGTGGTTATAATTTATAACGTACGTTTAATTACTTAAGAATATAATACATTTAAAAAACTGTGAATATATACTTGTAAAGTATCATATATTTTCGTTACAAATAATCTGAATTTGTTTTGTTTTTCATTATTTGGAATTGTATTGAAGGTTAAGTTCTTAATAAACGGTTTGCAGAAGTTGGTTGTAATTATGATATCAAAACTAATCATATATGTCTGAAATTCCTAATGATTCAATTAAAATATTTCTAGTTTTAAACCTGAATATTTTGTAAATAAATGTAACAAATTTATACTAACGTTCACTAACGACATGTAAAGCTGTAACTTCGATTTACAATTTAATTACAACTGATACTATTTTGAAGCATTGATTCCAAGTTTTGAAAAAATGTATTTTATATTTTTTTATTATTAAGAATTAACTAACATTCTAAATAATTTAATGTCGTTATTGAATTTCATTTGAATTGTATTGTTGTTCTGTAATATATTTTATATTATACTTTTGTTATTTAAAAGTTTATACTTTAATAAAATATAAAATTCTATTAATAACATATCTTAAATCCCATAAACATTTTATGTAGATTAAATAAATATATACTTTACAGAAAGCATAAACATTCAATTTATTTGGACATTTGTATATAGTTCCATGTGTCGACAATTCGTATTTCCGGCGCTGTATTAACGATATCTGTTACCATAATATATTTTGTTGTAGAAATAAATATAATCATACCTATTAATATTTAGTAATAACATTCAAAAGTCAGAACTAATTTATTCAATTTAAAGCTACAAAACAATTTACTTCTATATGATATGTATCTATAGCAAATGTATAAGAATTCGTTGTGTACCGAGAGAACTTTTTTTTTTGTTATAAGGAAATAAAACACGATAAATAATACGTAGCGTAATATGTAAAATTTTTAAGTAATATTTATTCTAATATGTTTTGACTATTTTTAAGGAATATTGAAACAATGAAAAGAGCAAGCTATGCGCAAACTCAAAATGGTCAGTTGCGCATTTGGGGTTTACATAAGTATTTGAAGGGAGTAGTAATCGATTGGACGACGTGAGCGGTCTCCATTTCTCATATACGTATAGCTGAACTCCTGTTTAGTGTGACGAAGGGTATTATAACTCTTCAAAGTTAACAAAAATGGTTAAAATGGATCATGATGTGAGTATATTATCAAACTAATATCTACAATTAATACTTTATACTTATTACACGTAAATTATTTCCGCAAAGTAAGAACGTAGATACCCCAGTTAATCCGTCATTTTGTTCTGCATGTATAACCTGTGATTTTTTTCCATATACTATTCTCAGTTATTCTTCTTATAAATTTTTTTGTAATTTTTATAATCCGTTTCATGAGTATTTTAAAAATTTGTTTATAACTCATATAATTCTATATATTTTTAGCTATACGATTATATACTATATTCCGATATAAAGTAATTTGTAGAATTACGTTAAAATTACGTTAAAATTGCGTAAAATTAAGTAAAATTACGTACGTTAAAGAGAAAGTAATATTGTACTATTTTTTGAATGTATATATTTACTAGTTATAGGTATACGTAGCGTACGTTCTGTGCTTATGGTGTGTACCTATCATGGCGTACCTTGACGCTACGTTGTTTGAGAATCGAAGATAATGCTTTGCCTCGAAAATATGAACGCATTATACATTTAAATAAGACTTTATAATTTCTAATACTTGTAATTGTGTTTTGCAATCGTTATTACTACCGTTATCGATAATTGTACATTATTTATTCTGTATTTTTAATAATTATTATTCGATGTGTTGTGTAAAAATATTAAATTTATTGTGAATTCTGTCAGTTTTCAAAATTGAGTGATCAGAGTAGAAAACATTATAATTTATGAACTATTTGTACTATATAAAGATGGTAAATTTTAGGACTAAAATTTTTTATTTAATTCTTTTAAGTGTATTTATCAACATAATGGACATAAATTTGTTGAAATTGTTTGTTGAAGTTTTTTCAAAACAATGAAGTATCAATAGTTTATTATGAAACATGTTGTGTACAATGGTATATTTGATATAGTAGGAAATGTTTGAATATTTATTGAGTTTATATTATTGGAAAAGTACTTATTATAATGTTTCATTAAGTGGTATATAAAGACTGTTATTATTTAATGTTTCAATTATATATCAATTTCAATGTTTCAGGATGGAAAAAATGAGCCAGAACATGTTAGAAAATTATTTATTGGTGGTTTAGATTATAGAACTACAGATGATTCACTAAAGAAACATTTTGAAAAATGGGGTGAAATTGTTGATGTAGTTGTAATGAAGGACCCCAAAACAAAGAGATCCAGGGGATTTGGTTTTATTACTTATTCCCGTGCTCACATGGTGGATGATGCTCAGAATGCAAGGTTGTAAACATTTCATTAAACAAATTAAAATTGATCAGCACATTTAAAATCAAGCATTTCATTGTTTCATGTATAAAATTATAGACCACACAGAGTAGATGGGCGCGTCGTTGAACCAAAAAGAGCTGTTCCTAGGCAAGAGATTGGTAGGCCTGAAGCTGGAGCAACAGTGAAAAAGTTGTTCGTGGGTGGTTTGAAAGATGATCACGAAGAAGAAGATCTTAGGCAATATTTTCAGAGTTATGGCAGTATAAATTCAATCAGTATTGTTACTGACAAAGAAACCGGCAAAAAACGTGGTTTCGGTTTTGTAGAATTTGATGATTATGACCCTGTTGATAAAATTTGTTTACAACGTAATCACCAAATACGTGGAAAACATGTAGACGTGAAAAAGGTAAAAAAACGATAAATACTTGAGGAAAAAAAGAGTGTAATGATATGAATTTTTTGAATTATTTTTCAATGTCTTTGTAGGCTTTAAGTAGAGCAGAGATGGCTTCTGCGTCTGGCGGAGGTGGTAGTGGTGTTGGCGGTAGCAGAGGAGGGCAAAACGTGGGAAGAGGACCTCGTGGTGGTAATCAGGGAGGTGGCAACTGGGGAGGACGAGGAAGCGGTGGTGGCGGTGACTGGAATAATGGTGGTAATCAGGGTGGTTATGGTGGAGGTAATCAAGGAGGTTGGGGTGGTAACGGCCCTTGGGAGAATCAGAATCAAGGTAAAGGTTCGCAGAAAAAAAATTGATTTTATCCTTCTATCTATTATATGCTATATCAGTCAATTTGTAATACATTATACTAAATATTTTTTAAAGGAGGTGGGTGGGGAGGACAAGGAGGACAGGGCGGATACAACAGTGGTGGAAATTGGAGTAATGATAACTTTGGTGGGGGTTATCAACAAGGCTACGGTGGTGGACCAGTACGGAATAACTTCAACTCTGGAGGAAGACCAGCTCCCTATGGTATTAATACGGGTCCTAGTGGCCGACAATCTGGAGATTCGAGATGGCTACCACCCTTCGGTGGACAAGGTTGCTTCTATCCTTCTCAAAAGCCAACGCGTCTGCTACGCACCTTGAGCAACTATTCTTAAATTTTTTTCATATTATGATACAAGTATGATACGTACAAGTTCTAACAGTAAAAGACTTTATGATTTCTGTAAGTTGCACAAGGAGTGTTCAGCTTAAATATTACGAGTTTTACATGCAAATAATTTTATTATGCCGTCCAGAGTGTGAAAAAATTAATCATCATGGTTTTCACAATTGAATTAGTTGCATCTAGACTAGTGAAGATAGACAACAAAAGAATAAATACATTTCAGTTACTAAAAGAGTATAAAAAGTACTACACTAGGATTTAGATAAGAAAGTTCAATGCTTTGTCGTGAAATATGCTTCTTTATTTTACCTTTTTATTATTATGATATATTTCTTTTTTAATAATATGATGTTTAAATTTAATAATTCCTTAATTGCTAATTTTGATAAAATATATCTGTTCAGTGGTCTTGAGCAACTTTATGTTTGTACATTATGTTCTACAGATACTTCTGTTCTAGAAATTATTTTCTTTATTTAACTTTTATTAAATTTTCATTCGTCTAGGTGTTTCAAGCTAAGATACACAACTTTCTTAGCAGATAATTGAGAAATTTTCTGAGTACAATAAGATTAATTCTAACGACAACATAATCTATCGTTGGCATTAACATATCGTCTCAGTGTTTGCAAGTAGAGTTCAATAATAATATATCAAATACAGTATATTTTAGAGTAAAACATACGGCGCGATGTTGCAGAGAGAAGAAGCGCCCTTAGTCCATGTTTTCTGTTTCACGTAATTTGATTCTTTTCACCATGTCTACAGTATCTTTCATGTATATTTTCTAATAGAAGTATCTGATATCTTTCATATCTGTTTTTTAACAGAATTCTTTTAGCAAATGATCGTTCATTACATTTCTTAATGTAACAAATTTTAAAACGTTTATGTTGTCTGAAGGGCAATATTGAGTTCTGTAATATTTTTGATCTATGAGCTTACTGCAATTTTTACATTCTTGTACCACTGCACTGCTACTATATTTCAGGATTATAACAAAACGTTTGTACATGTATATAAAAAAATTGCAGCATGCACTTTGATCTAAAAGCTTCAGAGATGATTTCACATTGTCCTCTCAACTATATATTTTATATTTTTAGCAAAATTAACATTGCAATTAATCTCATATTAATGCAATATTATTTTAAATGTGTAATACACAATGATTTGGTAATCTTATTCATTGCAGAGCACTCTTACTAATTTTCTATGTTTTTTGTATAATTTTTAGGTCCTATGGGCGGTGGTAACTCTGGTGGCGGTGGTGGTGGTGGCGGTGGATATGGCAACCAAGGGGGCTATGGCGGCAGTTCTCTTGGTGGTGGCAATATGGGAGGAGGAGGCGGAGGTGGTGGAAGGAGATACTAAGCTGATACTTTATCCATGGGGACTCCCTCACGTGGTAAGCATAATTTTATTATTACTTCATAAATTATCAATACGATGTATATTTACAACATATAAAATTAGAATGTCACTAAATAAAAATACAATAACATTCCGAGTAATACGACATGTCAGGTGACATGTCATTTAATAATACAACCATGGATTGTATGGAAATTTACTTTTCTTTTTCGCGATGGAAATATTAAAAAATTTTTAAATGTTTTGTGACACTTTAATAATATTTCTGTGTATTAGCTGTATTGAAGCTACAACTATAATACATAGCATTTTCGTAAAATAGTATTATGTAAAAGTGGTACAACAGAGGAAAGGTTTTAGAAAAAAAGTAATGAGTTTAGTAGCTCCCTGTTTCATTATTCTAGCAAAAGGATGTTTTTGGTATATTCAGGGATATGCGCCATCCACATTTACATATAATTTACGAATTTGAAAGTTACAACTACAACTGATTTTAGAATAACTACATAGCAACCTTTGAGTTTCTAATTAAAAGTGTTTATGTACTCGGTACAGTGAATATTTATTTTTTCAACAAAATTAGATAGGTAATATTTTTCAAGCATACGGTAGCAAGTTAAAAGACAGAAAATTTATGAAGTTCATAATCGAGTTTGTACCAAGTAATTGGCAATAACAACGGTGCACAGTTACTGAGTCATTCTGTTGAAATTATTGAAATGTTGTGATATCCTTTTAGCCTTCATTTTCATTATCCGTTTTATGCGAATTTTTGCACATTTGCACAATTATAGCAATTTCTTCAATATTCAACGAACTAAGTACGATTTTGAAAATAACATTTACACACGTGTCTTTAAGTATGATCCTGTTTGCGCACAGTATATATCGTTAGGTATGAAAACACGTAAAATAAGAAGAAAAGGAAGTAATATTATTCTTTTCTGTTTTTATATTAAAATTAATTAGTCACATGATGTATAAAAGAAAACATTCGAATTCATTACAATTTGTTTTATAGGATAATAGGTAGTTAATCCGAAATTTTTCAATTAATATTATAAGACTGATGAGAATAAAAAGATATTTTCCAATGATAATCATTAAACGCGTATAGTATTATCAATATTTTGGGTAGACTGTTATTTTTGAATAAGTTTTCTATGAATGTTAGATGATTTAATAGTAGTATATCCAAGTTTGACTTCGGTATTGCCAAATGTTTGGTATTCAGTGTTCAGTTAAAACTTCTTAATGCATATTTATCATGGATTCATTAAGGAATTTCATTACATATCTTGTTCAGGATTGAAGTGTTATTACATTATTCTTTGTTATCTTGTCACTTAATGTAGTATTATCTGGAATCAATGTTATCTTCGTAATAAGCAAGATTACTGTCTTCTTGTTTTATACCTCTTAAATTTTTCAAGGAAATTTAAGAGTCCTGCATAGTAAATATTGTGTTTCTTTATACTAATAGGCATATTAGTATGAGATATGAAAATTTACTTCTAAAATGATAGAAAATAATCTAGAATGTAATATACTTAGCTCAAAATTTATAGATTTTTATAGTTTGAGTATTTCCAATCATCCGAACTAATAGATTTATGACTTTTGAACCTCAGGTGAACCTTCTACTTGTCTTCTAGTCGCCAGTACTTCTGTACTGTTTAGTATTGGAGCAGGCAGGGCTATAAGGCTAGAGACAAGACCAGGCAGGACAATCAGGATACAGGACAGAGAAGCGTCATCTATTAGATCACAGTGAGGGAGGCTTTTGCTTGTATTTCATTTGGTATCTAGCACTTACCTACCATATATATTTTACATATTCTACACTTATGTGAAAATATTGCATCATAATTTTCTAGACTGTGCTTGCACATATTGTGTGGCACACGTGATGTCCAACTGAAACAAAAAACACAATTTATTATTAACGTTTAATTAGTGTCATCACTAAGAATCAGAGGCGCGTTGAAATTCATCGTTCGGTTGCTATATCTAGGGATACATCCGTGCCATCCAAACATTAAAGTGTGTAATTCTTTGCAGTGTACTCTTTTGTAAAATATTTAAAGAAATCATTACTGATGTAGGATTATACAGTAGACATTGGAAAGCACGATTGTTTCTCTAATTTAGTGAAGTACATTGAAATAGCGGTCCATGTAAGAATCTAGGTTTTACTACGTTGATGCAGACTTTTATTTCATAATACGAAAGGTGATTCTTATACAGACCAAAATCTCAGGATAATTGAAAAAAATACGAGAAGAAACAAAAAATGTTAATGTGGAATGAATCAATGAATTTAAAGGAAACTCAGATAGCATGAATATCAGTTAGCATTTTTTTGTAGGTTACCTAGAATAACTAATTATTTTTTAAGTTGTAATGTTTTAAGAGTTAGCTAATAAACATGACCAGAACCTTTTCCATGTCACTTTTTAATTTATGGAATAAAATTTCAATAGTATAGGATAAGTCAAAGTACAAGAACTTGTATAAGGTAACAACAAAATAGGGAAGTACAGCTGTTTAGATAGATAAGGGCACATTTAATCGATGACTATACAAAAATAATAACCAAAAGTCTTGACCTCTATGTATAAATAGATCAGTTTATTTGTATTCTTTGTCGATTGTGTAGTCAAGGAAAGCACTATTATTATGGGCTACATATTTATATGTATTCACAGTATTAAATAATTTGTACATAACGCAAATCTATGACCAATTTTATGTAGTTCTTGTAATATAAGATTAAGATGTTTGGA